TGACTGTTTCATCCTCCTCTTGAAGAGGCTTAGTTTCCCCATCTGGACAGTGGGGATGTTGCACGCAGCCTAGGACATGAGACAACAGTACTCAGAAGTGCTCAGTGTCCATCTCCTCCACCTCTCCCAAGCCAGGCCACTCGTGGACTCATATCCCATGGAACCCTGGGTTTCTGGGGAGCAGCTGGAGCAGGGGTATAGGAGGAAACTGGGTCCCTGTGACCAATGCCTACCACTCCTCAAAAGGTTTGGGATCAGGGACAAAACATCAGAGGCATTGAGGCTTGACAGAATGCCCCTGGTTACTGCTGCCCTGCACTGGGGCCCAGAGAAAGATCCAGGTGACAGCCAACCTGGAGACCAGCAGGACGAGCCACGGAGACAACTGCGGTTGGACCATAGAAGAGGTCTAGATCTAGCTCTGCCACTGACTTGCTGGGTGATTTCCCAGGCCTCTGTTTTCTCTTCCGTAAAATGGGAGCTATGAAGACAGAGATGCCAAGAATAAAGCACCACCCCAGAGTAAGGGATTGCTACTCAAGGGCCATCTTCTCTGCAGGGCCCTCCTCTTGGTGCTGACAGGACCTGGCTCTCTGCCTCTGCTAATTATTAATTACTAATGCTGCTTGCTCTCCTCCCTCCCACCTGACTCAGAAGGTCCATGAGGTGTGGTCTCCCCTGTGAGCCCAGGCCTGCCCAGTCAACTTAATTTGACACAGGGAGGGTCAGGCCACCTCAGCTAACAGGCCCTCGAATGACGGTCCTCCTTGCTTGAGTCAGAGCTCAGCTTTGCAGGGGTGGCCAAGGGAGCTGGGTATCCTCCCAAGTGACCAGGACCTGGGGCTGCCCCCACCACCCCACACAGACCACAAAGGCTGCTGGGAACAAACTTCAGCTCCTGAAGCCTACTCTCAGCCCCAGTGAAAGAAACTCCCACCCTCACGGAACAGAAATGTGGCTTTGTTCTACACATCTCCACTGCTCAGGCAGCCCCTTGGCTCATCAACACCTGTGGTGGGCACAGCGACACACCAAAACCTTCCAAAGACTGTCAAGACCTGGGGACCTTTTAAAGCAGGACCCCACAGTCGCTCCTCTAAGGGTTCTAATAGCCCTGTCTGTGCAGAAGGGCCGAAGTCACATCTGCTAAACCTCGTGATACTTTTGTTGCTGTTGTCAGATCTCCAACGGGTGGACCAGAGTGGCGAAAAGGAGGGGTCTTCAGTGTGGCAGAAGATAGTATTAGGACCCGGGAGGGCACCTGGGTTAACAGCTCCAGGAAGAGCCTCCTCAGGGTTGGAACTATCCAACAAGGAGAGGTCTGCCTTGACAGAGCATTCCCTGGGTCTGGGGATGTTTAGAAGAACACTGGCAGGTGTTCTGTGCCAAAACTGTACTCTGCTCAAATAGGTATGGAAAATGCTGGGTTGAAGAAAGGTTAACAGGTCTTGTACTGCAGGACTTCTCAGAGCCTTTACTATGCTAGTGGGCTTTGTGTGTCTCCAAAGGAAGGACAGTATGCTATGCTTTCCAAATGTATTTGACCCCAAAGCCCCTCCCCCGACCCCCACAAAGCATCACTTGACTGTAGGGCCACATCTTCAAGCCACATCTGTCCCTGGAGGAAGGGGGAAAGAAAGCGGCCTCCCTAAGCATCTGACCTGGAGTAGGACAGCCACATCTCCCCTTGAGGGGGTACAGGGACTACCCAGGAGGGGCTCTGGGCATCTCGGTGAGTGGCCCAAAAGCTAATGCTCAACAAGGTGATAACTCTAATTTTCTGGAAGTGGAGTTCCACAGCCCCCACACTGCTGTGAATTTAACTTCCAAACAAAACTTGGCAGGGAAGACTCCCATGCCGCCCAACCCCCACTCCCTCTAAGAATCTTCCTTGGGTATCTGGAGAGAGAAAGGAGGGGCTTAGCCAAGAGCCTCAGGAGTCTCTCTCCAAAGACATATAGCTGTTGCCACAGACCAGGGGTTGACACAGGGGTTCACATGCCGTTGTAGACTCAGAGGCCTTCTAAAAACTGCACACAGTGCCTGAGCCTGCTTGGGCCTGGCACCCTTCCCACAAGCTGAGAAGCCCCCACAAGCATCCAAGTCACCTCCTGGTGCTGACTCTTCCACTTGCACATGAACTCTGCCATCTCTCTCTCTCTCTGCTCCCAGGGCCAGTGTTCCACTCAGAACCCTTGGCTTATCTTCAGCTTCCAGAGCTGAGGTTCCAGGGGCACAATGGGCTTCTGTGCCCCCATGTCCTCATCCCCTCCCCCCCCGCCCAAATCCCAGCTGCATTCATGGTGTTTTGCTATTGTGGCGAGAGCAGCCTGGCTAGGGGGTGTAGGAGGGGGTGGGCTCTTGGCACAGGGACTGGCACAGACAGGCCGTGGTCAGTGGTCAGCATGCAAGTCACATCCACAGGCACTGCCACTGGGCCTGCCAGGCCTTGCACAGAATGGCGACACTCCTGGGCCCCTAGGTCCCTTCACAGAGTCCCCTCTAGCCGACACATGACTTGCTTCCTCTCCAACAAGCCCCTTGGTGGTATTCAGGTGGAGGGTATCTTTTCTTGCCTTCTCAACCAGTTGCTATTTTGGAGCCACATTAGGTCACCAGCTAAGCCCTGGGCGCAGGAAAGGCCTGTCCCCAGGAGCACAGCTGGGGCTCCAAGAGGGTTTAGGAGGCAAAGTGGGTGGAGAGTGAGAGTGAGTGAGCCTGAAGCCAAGAAAGCCTTCCAGAAGTCAGCACGCACAGCCCTCTAGGCCCTCCAAGGAAGCCATTGGCCTGTGAGCATAGGAGAAGCCCCTCTTACCTCCCTTAACCCAGCCTCAAGGTACATCCTCTCCTGTTTGCACAGCTCTCAAATCCCATACACACCACCCTGGGGGATAGCAGAAACTACATTTAACAGATGGGCAAACTGAGGCCCAGACAGAAACAGGGGGTTCCCCCAAAGTCAGGTCATGAAAGACTTTTTCCACCATTGCTCTAGAAAACCTTTACCAGCTCCTTCCACCCTGGCCTCAGTGAAGGAATGTGCCTCTTCATAGGGAAACTGAGGTAAGCAGCCATGAAGTGATAGGAGGCAGGTCCCACTGAGACCCAGCTGGGATCCTGGATGCCAGAAATTTCCAAGTGGAGGCACAACATCCTACTCCCACAGGGGACTCTTAATGGCCAAAAACTCCTGGACCCACATTCAGGGAACAAGGCCACCAGAGGGTGGGAGCAGAGGGAGGCTAGTAGAGGCTGACTAGGGAACCCCCCCTTGACCAGTGGGGCATTGTCACCCTCCTCCCTTAGGGCTCCCATAGGACCCCCAGGACATCACCCACCATTCATACTGTATCATCTTGTCTGTCTTCTAATCTGGGGCCCCAATTAGCCTGTAACTGAATCCCCAGGGGCCCACACGGAGCTCAATAAATCTTTGGTAAGAGAACAAACAATTGAAAAGATGCAGGCACTGAAGAAACATCCCACAAACTGTCCTCCAAGTCACTGGTCACCGAAGCCAGTTCCCTGAAGAGGCGGCAAATCTCTTACAAGAAAGAAAGATTCCCAGCCAAGAACAATTCCTCATGCGGAGAGAGTGCTTTACAGTTTAAAAAGAGCTTTGGCATACAATGCTTTCATCTGGCACCAAAGGGTGCCTCTCCAGACTCATCTCCCTCAACTATGTCCAATTGGCCCAACACAGGTCAACCAGTCCTCTCAGCTCTCCTGGTGTTGGCCCACCTCTAGGCCTTTAGGCCAGCGTTTTAGAAGTCCACGTCTCCTCTGGCGAAAAATGGCAGAGTTGAACGCATTATGTGGCCAGAAAGGGCGACCCTCTGCCTCCCCCTCTCATCCCCAGCACACTAGTGCAACCCTCAAACCATTCAGGACTCTGACTCTCCAAAAACTAATTGGTGCACCCAGGTCTAGAAGGCAAGTGACTCTCATGTGTGTCCTCTCCCCCACCCCTTTCCCCTGCACTTTTGCAGAGAGAGGTGCCAGAAGGAGAGTGAGAGAAGGCCACAAAAGGCTGTCTGCAATTCCCCCATGAGACAGGAGTAAGTGGGAGTGGGGGAAGAGGAGGAGTTCAGCTGAAGGGAGAGACGAGTGGTATCCAGCCAGACTCTGGAGACCCTTCAAGAGGGGCTGGGAGGTCCTGGCAATCTGTGTATTTATCTAGCTGGGGAAGATGCACTGCCCCCTCCACTCTGTAACAGAATCCACCCAACAGGCCGACTTTGCAACGCCAGCCCGCCCAGGTTTCTGGAGACGGCACTGGGCAGCTGGAACCTCTCCCCCTATCTAGGCCCCCTCCCAAGAGCCCAAGAGGATTTCCCTTTCATTTCCTTCCAGGCTGGGAGGGCGGAGGACAGCGCAGTCTGTGGGGTCAAGCCCTCAAAAACCACTTCCTATGTGGCTGGGGAGGGCAGGCAGCTGGAGGATGTATCTCGGGGTCCCTGTGTGAGAACAGCAGGAAAAGCCCTCTGGGCGAGTTACTGCTCTCCAGGGTACCCTTCGGGTCAGGAACCACCGAAGTGTCGGAGGAGAAAAGATTTTAGGCCCCTCTAGAGGAGCTCACAGCAGAATCCGCACTCTAGGTCCCAGCCAGCTGTGGCCAAGAGGGGGATGGGGTTGGGCGTGGGAAGGACACTTGGAAGGGGCTCCCCGCCCTGGCCGCGCCCCTGCTGTCTGGAGAAAATCCGGAGCCCCCAGCCCGGCCGGGGCCCACCCAGTCCCCTTCGAGCAGGGCACCCGGGCTGGAAGAGGGGACAAGAGGGCCCCACCCGCGCCTGAGCTGCTCCGGGCTGGGCTCAGCCGGGAGGTGACGCGCTCCCGGCGCCCCGGGGACTTCGGGAGGCGAGTTTGGCAGAGCTGAGCGAAGCCAAGCCAAGCAGGGCCGGGCAATACGGAGCCGGGCCGGGCCAGGTCAGGAAGAGCGGGGCACATAGAAAGGGGCCCGGCGCGGTCGACGGAGGGCGGGGGCACGCGGGGGCACCCACCTCTCCGCGCTGCAGCTGGAAAAAGCTGTTGAGATAGCTGGAGTGCAGGGGCGAGCCCAGCTGCTCCGGGCGGCCCTTGCCGAAGGCCAGCTCTGGGGGCGCGGCGCCGGCGGGCGGCTCGGGCCGGAAGGCATCGAAGGCGCTCGCCTGGTGCGTGTCCTGCAGCGACAGGTAGACCCAGTTGAGCAGCTGGGCCGGCTGGTACACCGAGGCAGCGCTCGTGTCGATGGCCGACAGCAGGCTCATTTTGCGGTGGCGGTGCCGGCCCCTCCCCGGCCGCCCGCTCGCGCCCCCCCACCCCAGGCGGAGGGGCGGGCACCGGGG